GATTTTGGCCATTATAGCCATAGATGTTTATAAATGTCCTTAAATGTCTTGAATAATCCCTGTCCTAAAGCTTTAACAACTCAATCCAAGTCAAAATATTTTTAAATAGAGGCAATTTTTACCCCGTTTTTTTCTTGTCAAAGTTAAAACCAGTATTAAAACAGAAACAAATCTTTAAATAATCACTTTCACCTTGACGCAGACATGACAGTAAACATTTTTGCTTTTCTCTGTGATCTAAGTCTTATTGTCTCTGTAACATTTCACACAAAGACATTTCTGTTGTTTTCCAGACTCTAAGAGCATTTTTGTTCTTGTATTTCAACTTCAGAGAAAGTTTTTGGCCAAGGACACACACTGTACACTTTGAAAGTCTTTGAATCCACACAAAAAGGTACTTCTGGTAATAACTGGTCTCTGTCATCAAAATGCTTCCAACTCGCACTTTGTGTAAACTTTGTGATGACAGCAGTTTTCTGATTTTGTATTTTTTACCCCTAAATTGGTCAGATTATTTACAACCGTGTTCCTTCAACGAGACAACCGGACATTCTTGGATTTAAATACGATTCAGAAGTGTAGTGCATTGGTTTGAATGGTCTAAACTTGGAATCATGGCTACACATAATGGCTTAATCCGCTTAGAAGCATGGCTAACCACTACAAAGCTGTTTTATGCTATTTCATGCCAAGGTAACGAGGCATTTCAAAAACTAATGTAAGGAGTAGAAAGTGTGTACATTACGGTTTAAACATAACAAAAAGTACAAAACTTAAGCTCAAGGCAAAGTCCACATTCCCAGAGCATTCAATTTGGCGGCTTTTTGCTTTGTATGTGCATTCACTGCTCATGTATATTTTGTTGTGCTAGTTACCATAGCAATAAATGTATTTCAAGTTGTATCAACCTGTTTTAGCCTTTATTTAAAAATGACTTACTTTTAATAAAAAATGGTGGGAAGAAAAAACTGCTTTTTGGATTCTTTTTCGGAATTCTCATTGATTTAATTCTTCTGTGAGATCTGGTGTTAAGGGACACAATCAATCCAAAATATTGCATAGTTTTCATTCTTTCAACCAGCTTTCCTTCCTCTGCACATGCCCAAATATTGATCCCAACAGTTGACGAGAAATTCCCAGTTTTTCCGGCCATAACTCCAACCAGATCCAACTCACTTCCTTCTCCTCATGTGTTAAAACCAGATTCTCCATATTTTCTCATTCCAAGAGAGACATTTTCTGTGTCTGTTAAAAAAAATATCATTTTGCTTTGTCCTATTTTTGAACCTTGTTTTTAAGGCTCAGTCAGAATGTGCTCAAAATAAAACACATTTTGCCAACTTCGAGACATTTAGACATATTTTTTATATACATCTCATTCTCGCACCCAGGTTTTTCCGCATGTTCCCGAGTGTCACTTCAGATTTGCGAGTGCAGAGCGCTTGCCGTAGACAAACAGCAGATTAGTATCGATCAGCGAGGATGAAATGAGTTCTGTAGTTGCGGCTTTTCAGTTCGGGATTAGCCAAGGACCTGTCAGCAATCAGAGCTCACGTACGGAGCTGGGAAATGCATCCGCGACCGCAAATACAGACTTCCCAAACAACCAAACGTCAGCACCTCGGACAGCGGCGTATTTCTCCGGGTGTACAGCCTTTTTTTTCCCCTTCTTTTTAAACATTTCATATACGCTTGCAGTAATGAAATATTTGACCACCGGAATACAGAGAGAGCTCCTTTAATTTGTACGGTCGCACTCCATTAGGTTTTAACAAGCGAGGGAGTTTTCTGAACGATCGGCAAAGCACGTTTTAACGGCTACTAGTGAAGTTTGATTATTGCACGACGCAGGGATTCTATAAGTGTGATGCAGGAGTGAGAGGTTTACGGGAGGTTGCCGTTTATTATAGAGTGGAGTTATTAACTTTGATGGTTAGACTGCGGCAGATGGAGTCAAAGACGCTGGAAGAACAGATGCTAGCTTGGGTGTTAGCTTAGCGCGGGCTGTTTTTGCGATCACGGATTACGGAGAGAATGCATTTATACATATGAATTAGTTCAGTTATTGCGATGGAATATATAGAGATACATAAATACATAGATGCAAAATAGGTTTAAAAAAAACGTATATTTTTGATGCGCCAAGTTATTAACATATTTTCATGAATTTTTATGATATCTATAAGTGTGAGGCAGAAGTGGGAGGTTTAGGGGAGGTCAGATGGAGATGCGGGAAGAACAGATGTTAGCTTGGGTGTTAGCTTAGCGCAGTTGATTTTGCGATTGCAGATAACAGAGAATGCATTTATACATAGAGATACACAGAGATATACTTAAACCATATATTTTTTTAAAGCTGGATATTTTGTATGTTTTTTGCACACATTTTTTTGATTGCGGTTCATAGTTTGAGCTCTGGAGCTGTCAAGTTTCTGAAGTAAAAATACCTGCACTTTTCTCCTAGAGAATCAGGAAAAACACAAGAAAAACTATAAAATATTGAAGGAAAGAAAACTGTAACTTAAGATTATTTTTTATATTTAAAAACCGCAAAGTCGTGGTGAGGAGGAGCAGTACGTGATACATTTAGCTACAATTTTGCTTGTTTTGTTATTATAGTGTTATTGATTCTGTTAAAACATATGATTGGTGTATTAGTATAGGATGAATATGATGCACATGCACTGTAAAACTCTACAAACTGTTAAATAACTTGAAAGAAAAAAAACGCATATTTTTTTGAATGGAAATAGACATGTGAAGTATCTTTGAGCGTCCAGTAAAAAAAACACATGCATCATTATAATCCCTATTATCGTTTAAAACCATGTATTTTTTATCTATAAAGCAAGTCATGTCCCCACATTGTCACAAAACCAGCCCAGATCCTACACTAAAGCTTCACATACATACAGCCATACATCAAATTCTTACAGTGAGCCAAGTCTTCACTCCACAGAAACTGCTATTAGCTAATTAGCCGTGCAGGATTTGATTCATACCAGGTCAAACTGTATATGGGAAGCAGAAATCAATATATGTTTAAGCTTTGACTGTAAAACTCACCCCTACACGACTGCATTCTGAGCCATGTACATTGGTTTAATTACAACTTATAGACAGACCCTATCGGAGTTTGAAAAATTATTGCGTTTTTTTGTGTCTATGCTGCAATCATCCGAGCAAATCTCTCAACCTGGCACGGCAAAATGGACGGGGAACTTACAAATGAGCGATAAATGAACCGTGAAATGTACTCCTATTCATTCAAATATGCGCACGACTTGTACTTCTTGAAGCTGGCACTGCTTTTAAAAACATCTTCTCTTTAGTCCAGCCCTCATCCTTTGTTGAGACGAGAGCGGCAGTCTGTTCCACAAGTCCCAAGAGGCGGTGTGCGAAAGTCTTATCTCCAAAACCATTATCCGTATCTACTGCTGCTGCTGTTACTGCTGTTACTGCTGCTACTGCTGCTACTGCTGCTGATACAAACTGTGTTCAAGGCAGACGTAACCAAGTTTGTGAATAAATTGTGTATTAATTCAAGGTGACCCGCGACGGTGCAATGTTACTGTACGAGTCTTGGAGGTGATTCATGTTTGACAAATGTGTTTTATCGTCTATTCTGAGTGCCATAAATGGAAAGTCTGAGGAGCACAGGGACTGGTCTCCTGCTGGTCCCAGAGTCAGGACTAAACATTGAGGAGGAGTCTGCCTTTCAGATTTATGCAGCTAATATGTGGAACAATCTTACTGAAAATGTGAGACTGGCTTCTTCTCTGACAATGTTCAAACCCAGGTTAAAAACAGTTCTGTTCAGCTGCAAACAACTGAAGGATTTGTATCTTCACTCTTTTGAAGATGCTGTTTTTTTCTTAATTTAAGTTAATTCTGACTGTGTTAAAACTAGATTCTTCAAAGGGACGAAGACATTAAGTCTGATTTAAAGAACTGTTGCTATATTTTCTCATTCCAAGGGAGACATTTCTTTTATCTTCTTATAATCATAATTTTGCTCAGTCAAAATGTGCTCAAATAAAGATACATTTCGCAAAAACGTGAGAATTATTTCCACATATTTTTTATCACTTTTTGCAGTGTATAAACATCAATAACGAAATGTCCTGACTTGTGGTAATATCCATCAATAACAGTGACCTGCACACACACACAAACACACACACACAAACACACACACATAGACACACAGAGACACACACACGGACAAAAACACACATAGACAAACAGACACACAAACAGACATACACACACACAAACACAGACAAAAACACACATAGACACGCAGACACACACACACACACACATTAATGTACACACAGACACACACACAAAAAAACACATCGATAAACACACAGATACACACACACACAAACACACAAAGAAACAAAAACACACAAAGACACACACACACAAACACACAAAGACACGCACACACACACACAAACACACAAAGAAACAAAAACACACAAAGACACACACACACACACACACAAAACACACAAAGACACACACACACACACACACAAACACACAAAGAAACAAAAACACACACACAAACACACAAAGAAACAAAAAGACACACACACAAACACAAACACACAAAGAAACAAAAACACACATAGACACACACACACACACACACACACACACACACACAGACACACAAAGAAACAAAAACACACACACAAACACACAAAGAAACAAAAACACACATAGACACACACATACACACACACACACAAAGAAACAAAAACACACATAGACACACACACACACACACACAAACACACAAAGAAACAAAAACACACATAGACACACACACACACACACACTCATCCCTTATCTGTATAAATCTTATGTAAACATTGATTTGCATTGTTTCTGTATAACACCATTTGTCACTTCCTGTCTCGATGCTTCTGAATAAAGAAAACAAAATAGATACACAATCCTAGAAGAAGAAGAAGAGCCGCCCTTAC